CACAGCAGTCAAACCCATGGCACCTGCAGGGTCTGTCCCGTGACCTCCTCCTGCACCTAGCCTGGCACAGCAGTCAAACCCAGGGCACCTGCAGAATCTGTCCCGTGGCCTCCTCCTCCTGCACCTAGCCTGGCACAGCAGTCAAACCCATGGCACCTGCAGGGTCTGTCCCGTGACTTTCTCCTCCTGCACCTAGCCTGGTACAGCAGTCAAACCCGTGGCACCTGCGGGGTCTGTCCCGTGACCTCCTGCACCTAGCCTGGCACAGCAGTCAAACCCGTTGCACCTGCAGGGTCTGTCCCGTGACCTCCTCCTGCACCTAGCCTGGCACGGCAGTCAAACCCATGGCACCTGCAGGGTCTGTCCCGTGACCTCCTCCTCCTGCACCTAGCCTGGCACAGCAGTCAAACCCATGGCACCTGCAGGGTCTGTCCCATGACATCCTCGTGCACCTAGCCTGGCACAGCAGTCAAACCCATGGCACCTGCAGGGTCTGTCCCGTGACCTCCTCCTCCTGCACCTAGCCTGGCACAGCAGTCAAACCCATGGCACCTGCAGGGTCTGTCCCGTGACCTCCTCCTCCTGCACCTAGCCTGGCACAGCAGTAAAACCCGTGGCACCTGCAGGGTCTGTCCCGTGGCCCCCTCCTCCTGCACCTAGCCTGGCACAGCAGTCAAACCTGTGGCACCTGCAGGGTCTGTCCCGTTAACTCCTCCTCCTGCACCTAGCCTGGCACAGCAGTCAACCCCGTGGCACCTGCAGGGTCTGTCCCGTGGCCTCCTGCCAGCGAGCCTTCGACACTTAAACGTGGCCTCAAAGTGCACCTGGCCTGGCACAGGCGCCGCTGTGACGTCAACGTCACTTAGTGGATTGTGGCTACGCCTCCCCTAGGTCAACTCAGCCTCAAATGAGTACGTAGGTGCGGTGTGTAAACGTCGCCACTACGGAGGCAACGGCATCCGGCGCACCGAGCTCGATTCCCGCTCACGGACACCGACACCAGCGAAGAATACCTGAACCGGTCCTGGGTCTCCCCTAGGTCGGCTCGGCCTCGAACGAGTACCTCGTGCGATGTGTAACCGTCGCCACTGGGGAGACAAAGGCGGCCGGGCGTGGTGCTGGCCACCCCACCCCCCTGGCTGGCAGCACTTGCCCCGAAAGCATCGGCGGAGTTTGACTTCTATATTCGTGGGTGGGAGGCAGGGGTTCGTTTCGTCACCCGCTCACATAAAACATCGCGGGTGCAAATAATTTACTTATTTTTAATCTTAGTTGTAAACTACTGAAAATAAATTAATGAAGGTGTCCAGTTTTAGGGGGGGGGGGCATCACCCCCCCCCCCCCCCGTGCCCCCCCCCCAACCCCAAACACCGCCCATGCCCCAGAGTCTGTTGAAGCTGTACGGGGGATCTTCGTCTTTGCCTGTGCTGGAGTCAGCAGCGGCAGCGAGGGGATTGGTGGATCACGCGCGGATCGTGGGAAACTCCAGTCCCGTGGGTGGGCGGCGCCAAGGAGAAGACGGTGCAGCAGCGTCCACTCATCGCCGCGACGCGATCACGCCATCCTCACCGAGCCCTCCCTCTCCCCCACATCTCTCTCTCTTTGTTTACGATCAGTGGAAACAAGAAGATGCTCGGTGTAGTCGGCACTTTGCTTCGTTCATTATTTAGTTTTTTTTTATAACTTTGCTTTATGTAAACACCCACCTCTCGCTCGCTCTCTCCCTCTCTCGTTCTCTCTCCCGCTCGCCCCTCCTCTGCCTCAAGCACACCACACGCGTACCGGGGTGACGTGCGCGTCTTCCTGGACCGCTGGGGGGGCCGTAAGCGCCCTCTCTGTCGTCAGCGTGGTGTGTGGCGATGACTGCCACCACAACCACCACCAACCACCACGTGACTCTTTTTGTGTTGTGCGTGGCGCGTAAAGCGCCACAACGCGGGGTTTTTTTCTATTGTGTTTGTGTTATTTGTTGCTGTATTTCGTATCGACATCGCCTCCAGTGCTGTTGCTGCTGGCGGCAATAAAAATTGTTTGTCTCCGAGTGCTACGGTCTCCTCCTCCTCCCCACGTACATAATAAGCACGACGACTCGTCATTCATCGGCTCGAAACATCTTTAGTAAATAAACACACGAAGTGGCAGCAGCAGGAGCAGCAGAGACCTGGCGACTCAGTATGGCTCTCCTGGTTAACATCTCACAGTGGCTAGGAGATGTTAACTAGCTCGCCTGGTCTACAGGAGGTCGTGGGCTCCATCCCGACCCTGACGCCTGCTGCTGCTGTAAATTTGGAGTTTGCATGTCTCTCTCTCATCATCATCATCATCACGGTGGCTAGGAGATGTTAACTACCTCGCCTGGTGTGCAGGAGGTCGTGGGTTCGATCCCGACCCTGACTTCTGCTGCTGTATATTTTGAGTTTGCGTGTCTCTCTCTCATCATCATCACGGTGGCTAGGAGATGTTAACTACATCGCCTGGTCTACAGGAGGTCGTGGGCTCCATCCCGACCCTGACGCCTGCTGCCGCTGTATATTTGGAGTTTGCGTGTCTCTCATCATCATCACGGTGGCTATGAGATGTTAACTACCTCGCCTGGTATACAGGAGGTCGTGGGTTCGATCCCGACCCTGACAATGCCTGCTGCTGTATATTTGGAGTTTGCGTGTCTCTCTCTCATCATCATCACGGTGGCTAGGAGATGTTAACTACCTCGCCTGGTGTACAAGAGGTCGTGGCTTCGATCCCGACACTGACAATGCCTGCTGCTGTATATTTGGAGTTTGCATGTCTCTCTCTCTCATCATCGTCACGGTGGCTATGAGATGTTAACTACCTCAACTGGTGTACAGGAGTCGGTGGGTTCGATCCCGACCCTGACTTCTGTTGCTGTATATTTGGAGTTTGCGTGTCTCTCTCTCATCATCATCACGGTGCTAGGAGATGTTAACTACCTAGCCTGGTGTGCAGGAGGTCGTGGGTTCGATCCCGACCCTGACGCCTGCTGCTGTATATTTGGAGTTTGCGTGTCTCTCTCTCATCATTATCACGGTGGCTAGGAGATGTTAACTACCTCGCCTGGTGTGCAGGAGGTCGTGGATTCGATCCCGACCCTGATGCCTGCTGAGTATTTGGAGTTTGCGTGTCTCTCTCTCCCCGTGGTCGCCTGGATTTTTTTTTCTCCGGGTCCTCCTGGTTTTTCCCTCCACATGCAGAATCAACCTCGCGCGTTTAGAGTATTTGGCTGCTATAAATGTCCACACACGATGATGAGCCCACTTCGTTGAGCTGTCACTTGTGGCCAGGTCGCTTCTGGAAAAAAACGAGCTAAAAAGCTCAGTTGGGACGTTACCTGCAAAATTAAAGTCGAGTGATTCAGAGGCACGGAAAACCAGTGTCACCAATAATTGCCCAAGGTCTGTGCTCCTATCTTGGGATGCGATAAATAAGCGATATCCTAACTATACTCTTTGGTTCTTTCGGTAAAGTCACGTGGAAGGGAAATAATAAAAAATAAAACTCACGACGCTTCGATTGCAACACAAGCGTTCAGCAGGTGCGAAACCCACAGCAATACATTTTTTGAAAAAAGTGGCGGTATTCTCTCAACGTTAAGAAAAAAACCGCCACTAGGTGACTTTACCGAAAGTCACGTGGCTATAAAATAAAACTCTCACGACGTTTCGATCGCAACACAAGCGGTCGTCCTCAGGCGGAAACAAATATAACCCAGCAGTGGAACAGCTGAACCAGCGAGAGAGCAAGTTACAAGCGATAACCTCTCCACGTTGAGAAAAAAAGTGAGATTATTTTTTACGCATCCCAATCAGGCTGCACGGCCTCCCTCCTGGCAATGCATGAGTTCAGCAGCATTGGTTCAACACTGGCAACACTCGGGACTGGTTTAGACTCGCAGTGTCTCATCACCGGCAGTCAGCCTTGACTTGAACCAACCAATGCTGGAAGTGGAAAAAACGAATTTGATCGTAAAAAAAATAAAAATAAATTACTCAAATAACATCTAAACAAATAACGTTACCTCTTCTTGGTTCTTTCGGTAAAGTCACGTAGAATGAAAATAATAAAATAATAAAAATATAACAAAATAATTCTCACGACGTTTCGGCCACAACGCAAGCAGCCGTCCTCAGGTGAAGAACAAGTCTGTCGAGAAGACAGAGTCTGAATGAAACACCCCAGGCTTGGAGCGTCTATTTAAGCTGGATTGGAGGGGGAAGAGCGCCTTGACAAAATAATTTGCATATCAAGAGGAATTTAGCATATGTTTATATTTTTATTTTATTTCCATTCTACGTGACTTTACCGAAAGAACCAAGAAGATGAATCCCTGCAGTCACGAAAGCTTTCAATCGAAAAATAACGTTACATTTTGAAACTTTTTAATAACTGAAAGTGTTTAAAATTTAAATACTAAAATATCCGAATGCCTAAAGCATAAATACCAAATGATAAAACGTGAATATTCGCCATTCTTCTACGGCGGAAGTTCTCCCCTGCTCTGCTGTCTAAAGATTTCCGATCAGCGCGGTTGGCTACGTACGGTGTGAAATAAGTTCAACAAAGACAAATATCCCCCGTGTAGCCTTAACAGACTGTTGGGGCAAGTGCTGTTAGCGAGTGCCAACCTTTGAAGGCCAGAACGGCACCTCCGGCCGCCTTTGTCTCCCTACAACATAGGAGTTTAAATTCAAAATAGGAGTAGCCATAAGAGGGTTTTTTTGTTACGTCGCATAAATATGATTTATTATTTACGCGATGTATCCCTATGGATATTGGTTGCGAAATCCTAGGTTTTAACTGTCAAAGGAATGCAACTCAACGTCTCCACTGACAATCTTTCACTTCCCCATTCACGGATGAGGGCGAGTTGAGAAGCAGTTGGGGGGAACCCCCTCTGGCTGACGTCATCCACAGACTGCGCCGGGGGGGGGTGCGGTGTCTATATAAAGAGCGGCATCATGTGAGCAGCCCCCACACGCGGAGTCGCTCCGTGTCGCTCACTCGCTCGCTCACTTAGCCAGCCATCCAGTCAGCCCGCCAGTCGTTCGCTCAGTCACTCACTTAGTCGCTCTGTCACTCACCGAGTCACCCAGTCGCTCAGTCACTCAGCTGGCCACCCACTTACTCGCTCAGTCACTCACTCGCTCAGTCACTCACTTAGTCATTCAGTCACTCACTTAGTCATTCAGTCACTCATTCAGTCGCTCAGTCACTCACTCACTCGGTCACTCACCCAGTTACTCAGTCACTCGCCCAGTCACTCACTCGCCCAGTCACTCACTCGCCCAGTCACTCACCTAGTCACTCAGTCGCTCAGTCACTCACCTGATCACTCGCTCAGTCACTCACTTGACCTGCTAAAGCAAAGTGTTTAGTAAAATAGTCGCTCCGTCAACTCCGCGAGTCACTTCAGCCCAGCAAAGAAGTCGGCGTGGATATATTACTACCTGCCCGGGCGACCTGTGAGTCGAGCGTGTGGGTGAGGGGTGGGTGAGGGTTGGGTAAGGGTTCTAAGTTGTCTTGTGGTTGTTGTTGTTGTTTGACTTGCATCCCACTGTGATTTTTGCACACAGCGTTGGTGAACGGTGCCTTTTCTGTAAGATTTTGCAGTTTTTTACCTGGATTTTTCTGTTTGCGCGTAGTCACTTTAAAATGTTGTCTTGTTCATGTTTTTGGTTTTTGTTTTGTTGCGGTTGCACCCGATTTAAGAGCCGAATGGCTCACCGTGTTGGGTAAGTGTTCGGTAAGGGTGAGGGTTGGGTGAGGGTGAGTGTTGGGTGAGTGTTGGGTGAGGGTAAGGGTTGGGTGTAGGTGAGTGTTGGGTGAGGGTGTAGGTGAGTGTTGGGTGAGGGTGTAGGTGAGTGTTGGGTGAGGGTGTAGGTGAGTGTTGGGTGAGTGTTGGGTGAGGGTGAGGGTTGGGTGAGTGTGAGTGTTCGGTGTAGGTGAGTGTTGGGTGAGTGTTGGGTGAGGGTCTCGCACTGTGACTGTGAAGTTACTTCCGGGTTTGATTCGCCATCGGTGGGATTCCACGCGGCATTTGCACACAAAGATCACCCCCGACCGGCCTGAACGGACTGTTGGAGCCAGCACCACGCCCGGCCGCCTTTGTCTCCCCAGTGGCGATGTTTACACACCGCGCCAGGCTACTCATTTGAGGCCGAATCGACCTAGGGGAGGCCCAGAACCGGTTTAGATAATCGTCACCGGTGTTGGCCGTGAGCGGGATTCGAACTCGGGTTGCCGGATTCGTCGCGCAGCGCAGTGCTAACCACTACACCACCGCTCCCCACATAGAAACACAGACACACACACACGCAGAGACACACACACACATGTATACACACACATGTATACACACGCGGAGACACACACGCAGACACATGTATACACACACGCGGAGACACACACACATGTACACACACACACACGCAGACACACACACATGTACACACACACACACGCAGACACACACATGTATACACACGTGTGTATACACACACACACGTATACACACGTGTATACCACACACGTGTACACACACACACGTGTACACACACATACATACACGTGTACACACACACATACATACACGTGTACACACATACATACACATGTACACACACATGTACACACACACGTGTACACACACACACACGTGTACACACACACACACGTGTACACACACACACACGTGTACACATATACACACGTGTACACATATACACACGTGTACACACACGTGTATACCACGCACTTGGACACGGGGCCCGTCGCGACCGTACCGGTGTGACGATCGATGGGGAGCGGTGGCGCAACGGTTAGCGCGTCTACCACCAAACACCGGCAGACGATTGCCCTGTGCCTCCCCTAGGTCGACTCGACCTCAAATGAGTACCACTCCACCCCCCGTCGCGTACCGTGTACGGCCCTCATCGCTTGCTGCTGCTAATCGCTACTCGGCCCTGGTGATCAGTGTTGGCGGTCTGTGTTGAAGTCTACGGGGGGGGGGGGTGGAATCGCTCCTCGTCTGCCTTTTCTGGGGGGGGGGGTAACGCCGCGCGCGCGCCTGCTCGACGTGGAAGAGTAGGCCAAAGTTCGTGGCGGTGGGTGGTTGGGGGGGACTGTCACGGGTGCCGGCGCGTCATCTCGAACGGGGTGGGGGTGGTGGGTGCGGCCGAGTCACGCGCTCGGGTGTGACGTGAGCGGGCAGACGTGGGGCATGGGGGTGGGTGGGGGTGGGGCATGGGGGTGGGTGGGGGTGGGGCATGGGGGTGGGTGGGAGTGGAGGGTGCGGCCGAGTCACGCGCTGGGTTGTGACGTGGGGCATGGGGGTAGGGGGTGGGTGGGGGTAGGGCATGGGGGTGGGAGCAGAGATTCACGAGACGGGGCACCCAGTCACTCACCTACCCACCCATCCACCCAGTCACTCACCTACCCACCCATCCACCCAGTCACTCACCTACCCACCCATCCACCCACCCACCCATTCACCCATTCACCTACCCACCCATTCACCTACCCACCCATTCACCCACCCACCCATTCGCCTACCTACAAAACCCATTCACCTACCCACCCACCCGCTCACTCAAGCTCCCATTCATTGATTCACTCACTCACTCACCCACTCGCTCACACTCTCACTCATTAATTCACTCACTCACCCACTCACGTATCCGTTCGCTCGCTCACGGCACGCACTCATTCATTCACTCGCCCACCCCCTCGTTCATTCACTCACCCACTCGTTCATTCACCCACCCACCCGTTCGTTCACTCGCCCACCCACTCGTTCATTCACTCGCCCACCCACTCGTTCATTCACTCACCCACTCATTCATTCACTCACCCACTCGTTCATTCACTCACCCACCCACCCGTGCATTCACTCGCCCACCCACCCGTTCATTCACTCACCCACCCACCCGTGCATTCACTCGCCCACCCACCCGTTCATTCACTCACCCACCCACCCGTGCATTCACTCGCCCACCCACCCGTTCATTCACTCACCCACCCACCCGTGCATTCACTCGCCCACCCACCCGTTCATTCACTCACCCACCCACTCGTTCATTCACTCACCCACTCGATCATTCACTCACCCACTCGATCATTCACTCACCTAGCCATGTACTCACCCATTCACCATCTCGACTCACCCCTCCAAGGTGAGTCGCGTGGCGAGCAGATAAAGACAAAGTCCCCCCGTGTAGCCTACACAGACTGTTGGGACAAGTGCTGTTAGCGAGCAGTAAGGGGCCATCCATTGAGTACGTACGCATGGAGGGGGGAGGGGGCGTTGACCCAAATGCGTTCGCTTGCCTATGGGCGGGGGGGGGGGGGTCTGCTGACAATGTGCGCATAGGACACGGGGGGGGGGGGCGGTGAAGCCTCGATAATAATGTGTCTACATTGGCCTTCAACTGAGTTAGATAGTCCGACGGTGGACATTCTGTCAATATTATTAATCCTTCATCGTTTCTTCGTTGATTCAATATCGGACATTCTATAGGATTCGGGGTGGGGGGGGGGAGTGTAAAAAGTCCGCGTGCGTACAGGGAGGGAGGGAGGGGGGGAGGGGTCAAGTTTCGACAGATTTTTGCCACCGACTCAATGGATGGCCCCTGACCTGTGAAGGCCGGCACGGCGGCACACGATGGGCCGGGTTAGCCAGCACCACGCCCGGCCGCCTTTGTCTCCCTCGCGGACGTGCTTTACACACACTGCACCAGCTACTCGTTTGAGGCCGAGCCGACCTAGGGGAGGCCCATAACGTTACACACAGACACTGATGCCGTGATGTGGTGTCTCTCTCCCTCGGGGCTTCAGAATAATCGCGAGGAGGAGAAGACGACGAAGAAGAGGCGAGAGATTAGAGAGGAGGAGACTCGCCCCTCCGAGTTGCTGAGTTCGGAGAGGGGCGAGGGGCAGGGAGCCACGATGACTACGCCGAGCTTACCGCCAGCTCTCCTGCTGGGCTGCCTCCTCATCCAGGTTGGTGTGTACGTGGGGTGTGTGTGTACGTGGTGTGTGTACGTGGTGTGTGTGTACGTGATGTGTGGTGTGTGTGTGGTGTGTGTGTGTACGTGGGGTGTGTGTGTACGTGCTATGTGTACGTGGTGTGTGTGTGTACGTGGTGTGTGTACGTGGTTTAGTGGGGAGTGGCAGTGTAGTGGTTAGCGCTACGCTGCGCTACGAGGCGCGGCAGTCCGGAGTTCGATTCCCGCTCACGGCCAACACCAGCGACGATTATCTGAACCGGTCCTGGGCCTCGCCTAGGTCGACTCAGCCTCAAATGAGTACCTAGTGCGGTGTGTGGTAAACATCGCCACTGGGGAGACAAAGGCGGTCGGGCGTGGTGTTGGCCTTCATAGGTGCTCGCTAACAGCACTTGCCCCGACAGTCTGTTAAGCCTACACGGGGGATATTTGTCTGTGTGTGTTTATATCTGTATGTATATGTCTGCATATTTATGTAAAATGCAGATATGGGATTAGTCACTACTTGTGGAATGTGTAGGTGATTGGGGGGTCTCAAAGTCATATTACATCTTGACTTAAAGCTTTTGTGCAGGAATTCATATTATTTGGGTCTTTCAGTATAGTCACCTATCTAGTGACTTTGCTGAAAGACCCAAAGAATATAGAAAAACATGAATTGTGTTAAGATGTTCAAACCACAAGGCCTTAGCCATGGAGTCAACATTGGGGGGGACCAAATCTCCCAGGGGGCCTTGGGGGTCTCAACCCAGAAAAATATCTACATTTGAAAACTAATTTCCTGTCCTAAAAATATTTAAAAATTCACTAACACATGGGATGGACTTTTTTTACAATAATGTCTAATAGTGTATTGTATTACATTGCTCTGTTTTTACTTTTTTACCATTTCTTGTTTCATTGTATGTAATGTTTAAGATTATGGATTCATAAAGTACAACCATAATCATATAAACAGAAATCTATGCATTGATTTTTTTATGAAGACAAGTCCAGATATTGTGGCCAAGGTTTAGCAAATTGTTGCTTTTATTTACATAGCATAGCAATAATTATGACTTTTTAATATTTTAATAGCAATATATTGGGGGGGGACATTTTGAGCATATTTGAATATTGGGGGGGGGGGCAATATATATTATAATTAAGGCCTTGGTTCAAACACCCAATTAGATACCTTACTGCATTAGCCACACACACTACTCGTGGCAAAACATGCAAACCAACGTGCTCTGATAACACTGGTCAACAAAAAAAACATTTCTGGCCTGGACTTTTCCAGCTGTTTTAGACTAATTTCAGGGTGCTGATTCCAAATCTCATCTCAGATTTGCTCTATCACATCTCATTTTATGCTATCGGCATACCCCATTTTCATTGATTTTACCCGAAATTAACTCTGTCACTTATGATTGCAAGTTGTTGCGAGTCAGTGACTGCTTTAGTGTTAAAATACGGTGCTGTATTTTTAGGATAGTGTGTTTATAATATAATTTTATGTAGATATCCACATTTATTTAATATTTTTCTTTTGCAGTTTTTATTGAAAATGCAATATTTGATTTCTCAAAAACCTGATGTGATAGACAAAAACTGATGCCAGATTTGGAATCAGCACCCCAAAATTACATTGAAACCGTTGGAATACCTTATGCCAGAAAAAGTGTGACGAGTGTAATGTATACATTGTCTTTGAAACTGATTGGGCTACACCAGACACTGCTTTCTTCTTTATGGCCTAGTCTCACCAGCGGTGTTAGAACAGGGAAGGCCTGGTTCTCAAGGCCATAAACAAGCCAATCGCTTTTAAAGACAATGCAAACACTACTATCAGAGCATGTTTGTTTTCCACAAGTGCCGTGTATGGTTATTGCAGACTTTTGATGCCTTGCAAAAAAGGTTTCTATTTGGGTGTTTGAACATCTTGGCACAACTCCTGTTTTATTGCCCGAGGGTTGTCTCGCCCAGCCTTACACAAGGCCTCGGCAAGGCGAGGTAATTTACCCTTTTTACCGGGTAAAAGGGTAAAGGTAAAGGTGTCGACATGCCAAGGGGTAAGGCTAAAGGGTATGGTAAAGGTAGGCTCGTTGTTTTTACACTTTTACCTTACCTTGCCCGAGGCCTACTTACACACTCGCACCACACAAACAGCACGGCATGCCCTCCGCACTCGACATCACACACATCAATCGCGCGCACGGGTGATGCACCAGGGGAGCGTGGGAGGTCAGGGGTGACGCACACAGCACGGCCTTGGGCAGGGAATCGAGATGGGGGGGGGGGGGGTGTGAGCCCTGGTGGCGCACGACACGCAAACCCGACGGGTGGGTGGGTGACCACTGATCGGATTGGTGCGGAGAGCGGATCGGAGATGGGCGATTGGTGGAGAAGGGCGAATAGAAGGTTTAAAAGGGACTGTGGAACGAGGAAACGGGGTTGGTTGTGATGACGAGTGTTGCTGTGGTTTACGAGCGGCGATGGCGCAATAAATCAGTTGAAGTACACCGGCCCAAGTTTCCTTTTCACTGCGAAAAAAAAAGGTCCCATAGACTTGGGCCATCACGCCGCAGTGGCCGACTCTCGCCAATGGGGCGCCACGGTGGCTATGAGATGTTAACTACCTCGCCTGGTGTGCAGGAGGTCGTGGGTTCAAGCCCGACCCTGACGCCTGTTGTATATTTTGAGTCTGCGTGTCTCTCTCTCATCATCATCATCACGGTAGCTAGGAGATGTTAACTACTTCACCTGGTATGCAGGAGGTCGTGGGTTCAAGCCCGACCCTGACGCCTGCTGCTGTATATTTTGAGTTTGCGTGTCTCTCTCTCATCATCATTTATCACGGTGGCTAGGAGATGTTAACTACCTCGCCTGGTACGCAGGAGGTCGTGGGTTCAATCCCAACCCTGACGATGCCTGCTGTATATTTGGAGTCTGCGTGTCTCTCTCTCATTATCATCAGGGTGGCTAGGAGATGTTAACTACCTCGCCTGGTATGCAGGAGGTCGTGGGTTCGAGCCCGACCCTGACGCCTGCTGCTGTATATTTTGAGTTTGCGTGTCTCTCTCCATCTCTTTCCCTGTGATCGCGTGGATTTTTCTCCGGGTCCTCTAGGGTTTCCCCCCCTCCACATTTAGAATCAACGTCGCGTGTATTTGTCTGCTGCTGTGAATGTCCACATGATGACATAAGCCCACTTTGTTGAGCTGTCGTTTGTGATGGCCAGGTCGCTTCTGAAAAAGAGCTACAGAGCTCAGGGGGCCTTACCTGGTGAAATAAAAAAAATTTCGTTCAGGCTCCAGTGGATCTTTAACACCCACCGTCAAGAAGGCGGGCGGGCGCGTGGTAGTAGTATTGTTTTTGCGGTTAATACACACGACACATTCGGGCGTTTTGTGGTTTCTTATCTTCCGGCTGTACAATCAATCGGCGCCTCCTCCACACCACAGACCTCCCCTTTCAACCATCACCCCCAACCATCATGATCATCGTCATCACCACCGCCATCGTCATTATGATCACTGTTACCATTGTCATTAGCACCACCATCACCACTATTATCATCATCGTCACCGTCATCGCCATCACTTTTATCGTCATCATCCTCATACCAGTTAACCCCTTATGAGTGCCTCCCTGATTATAGACCAATCGAGACCTTATTAGTCAACCCGTGCCCTTATAAATGTCAACGTTCATCCTACAAAGTCCCATCACAAGGGAGAAACGCAACACAAATAGACAAAAAAACATGTTTTTGTCTGTAGTATTGAAACGGCTGTATGCCGTATGGACCTGAAAACTCAAATTTCCCTGCACAAGAATACGGGGTAAACCGTGTGGGTAGACACGGTATGCTATCATCACCGTTGTCATCATCGTCATCATCACCACCACCATTGTCACCACCAACATCATCACCAGTATTGTCATTATCATCGTCGTCATGAGCAGCAGCCGGAGCCCCTTTACCCGAACTCGGAGCGAGATGAGAGATCGTGACGTCTCCCTTACCTGTCTCCTCGCTCACCTGTGCATCTCCCTCGCCCGAGGCTCTCGCCTGTCACTCTGACCGCCCCTCCTGTGTCTCTCACCTGTGCTTGTCTCACCTGTGCTTGTCTCACCTGCATCTCACCTGTGTTTGTCTCACCTGCATCTCACCTGTGTCTCACCTGTGTCTCACCTGTGCCCTTCACCTGTGACTCACTCACCTGTGTTTGTCTCACCTGCGTCTCACCTGTGTTTGTCTCATCTGCATCTCACCTGTGTCTCACCTGTGCCCTTCACCTGTGACTCACTCACCTGTGTTTGTCTCACCTGCGTCTCACCTGTGTTTGTCTCACCTGCATCTCACCTGTGTCTCACCTGTGTCTCACCTGTGCCCTTCACCTGTGACTCACTCACCTGTGTTTGCCTCACCTGCATCTCACCTGTGTTTGTCTCACCTGCATCTCACCTGTGTCTCACCTGTGCCCTTCACCTGTAACTCACTCACCTGTGTTTGTCTCACCTACGTCTCACCTGTGTCTCCTGTGCCCCTCACCTGCATCTCACCTGTGTCTCCTGTGCCCCTCACCTGTGACTCACTCACCTGTGCGTCTCTCACCATGTCTAGATGCTGTGCGTGGGCGGGACTCCGGTCACGTTGCCTCCGTGCACCCAGCCGGGGCCCTGGGGCATCCGGTGTCTCCCAGGTGAGTCACTGCAGTCTAGATATAGACTGTTTCCCAGTCGCGGGTGCTGCGGTGGCTAGGAGATGTTAACTCCCTCGCCTGGTATACAGGAGGTCGTGGGTTCGATCCCGACTCTGACGATGCCAGTTGTCTATTTAGACTTTGCGGTGTCTCTCTCTCTCTCTCATTATCATCACGGTAGCTAGGAGATGTTAACTACCTCGCCTGCTATGCATGAGGTCGTGGCTTTGATCCCGACCTTGACTCCTGCTACTGCTGTGTATTGGTTTGGCCGCGTTGGGTTGTGGCGGTGGGGGGTGGGGGGGTCCGACGACACGGACGAGGCCGGATTATAACGTGCACGCTGCCCACCCGCCCGCCCAGGGAGACCGATGGCGAGTGGCGGGTTGGCATGGCTGCGAGATCGCCTCTCCGCTGCCTGGCCGTTGACGATTTATCTCTTTTTCTTCTCGTGCGCCGTGGGGTGGGCGCCCAGGATGCTTCCTGGAGGAGGAGAGCGGCACCTGCGCCCCATGCCCGCGCGGCTCCTTCATGGACCACATTAACACCAAACACAAGTGCCTCAGGTGCAGAAGCTGTAACGCAGGTACCGCTCCTCACGAGCCACGCAGGAGCCATGCACGAGCCACATGATCACTCCCAAGCCTTGCATGAGTCACATGACCACAAGCCACGCACAAAACACACACGAGTCACATGACCACGCACGGGTCACATGATCACTCCCAAGCCTTGCATGAGCCACATGACCACAAGCCACACGCAAAACACACACGAGTCACATGACCACGCACGGGTCACATGATCACTCCCAAGCCTTGCATGAGTCACATGACCACAAGCCACGCATGAGCCACGCGCAAAACACACACGAGTCACATGACCACATACGAGCCACATGATCACTCCCAAGCCTTGCATGAGCCACATGACCACAAGCCACGCACGAGCCACGCACAAATCACACACGAGTCACATGACCACGCACGAGTCACATGACCACGCACGACCCAAACCGCATTCAGGCAAGTTGACGCCCAGGTTGATTCTGTGCTGCGGGGTGAGAACGCAGCAGCAGCATGGAGACTCGCCAGCCCAGAGCACACAGCCAACCGCTCGCTCTTGCCTCCACCCACCCCCTCCCCTCGTCCCCCTGGAGCAGAGGTCGGCTTCGAGGAGGGGCGGCCGTGCGGTGCGCAGGCCGACGCAGAGTGCCGCTGCCGCCCCGGCCTGCACTGCGTGAGCCCCGACTGCCCGCTCTGCCAGGGGCAGCCGCTATGCCCCCCGGGGCAGCAGCCCGGGCCCCCCCCGGAGCCCAGCTCCTGCACGCCCTGCCCAGCCGGCTCCTACTCCGACTCCACGTCCGCCACGCTGCCCTGCAGGGAGCACACGCGGTGAGTGCCGTGTTGGGGAGGTGATGATGGTGGTGTGTGGGTGTATGGTGGTGATGGACATGGTGGTCATGGTGTTGGTAGACATGGTGGTGATGGTGACGGGTGGTGGTATTGATGGTGGTGACGGTGGTGACGGTGGTGACGGTGGTGACGGTCGTGACGGTCGTAACGGTCGTGACGGTCGTGACGGTGGTGACGGTGGTGACGGTGGTGACGGTGGTGACGGTGGTGACGGTGGTGACGGTGGTGACGGTGGTGACGGTGGTGACGGTGGTGACGGTGGTGTGTGTGTGTGTGCAGCTGTGAGGATTCTGGGTTGAGAGCCGTTGCCAATGGCACGGAGACCACGGACACAAAGTGTGAGGACCGAGGAGCGGCCTACTTCGCATTTGGTAAGCAGGGGGGGGGGGGCACGGGGACGTGGAGATAGAGCCACACGAAGACAAATATCCCCCGTGTAGCCTTAGCAGACTGTTGGGGCAAGTGCTGTTAGCGAGCAGCACCTATGAAGGCCGGCACAAGGGGGCGGGTGGCCAGCACCACGCCCGGCCACCGAGCGGCGATGTTGTTTACACGCCGCACCAGGTACACATTTGAGGTTGAGTCGACCTAGGGGAGGCCCAGGACCGGTTTAAATAATCGTCACCGGTGTTTGGCGGTGGCCATGAGCAGGAGTCGAACCCGGGTGGCCGGGTTCGTAGCGCAGCGCGGTGACCGCCACACCACCGCTCCCCACCACACGCACACCGTGACACGGAGTACGCCGCATGCGTGCTGGTGCTGAGAGCGAGTTGCCGCTGCTGTGCCCCCAGGATCGATTTGGGTGGTGATGGTGTCGCTGGCGGTGCTGGTGGTGCTCACGGTGCCGGCGGCGGTGGGGCTCTGCTTCGTACTTTACCGCAAAGGTGAGAGGCACGGCGCCCTCCGCACCGAGGCCGGCACCACCGCCCCAGGTCACAGAGGCCGAGCCAGGAGCGCCCAGGTTCCACTCCGGGTCTCGGTCGCCCAGCCACAGAGAATCACACCAGGGGCCCGTAGACTCGCACGGAGGCGCCCGTAGACTTTCACGTCAAGTTATTTTGATGACAGCGATGATGATGATGATGATGACGATGACAGCGAGCCACTGACGATGAGATGCTAGGTGGAGCCACTGTGGGTGGGGGCTGATGACACTTTCTGTGGCGCTCTCTGTAGGCTGCTGCAACAAGGAAAGAGGCAACGCAGCGGAGTTGGACGACAAGGAGGACAGCACGACGCACCTGCAGCCCTCCGACGAGGTGAGTGACACCTCCCTCCCTCCCCCACTCTCTCCCCTCCCTCCCTCCCCACCACCCCCTCCCTGGGCTACCACTGCATGTGCGTCTCCATGCTCGCTGTGGCCCCTGAGCGTGCCTTCTTCTCTTCGTGTCCTGCAGGAGAACGAAGATGACGCCACCAACGTCGCCAGCGTCGCCAGCGTCGCCAGCGTCGCCAGCGCTGTGGCCCCTCATGGTATGGTACACTCTCCCGTCACTCTCCCAATCGTCTTCGTAGCTGCGCTTGAAAACGCAACAACATAAACAACATAAACAACATAAACAACATAAACAACATAAACAACATAAACAACAACACGCGTTTACCTTTCTGCCCCCCCCCCCCCCTCTTAGTTTCCAACTTCCTGATCAACGTGAACACTCACGTCATGCAACTGGGAGACTGGAATCGCTGCTCTGTGGACGGACATGAGCCGGGTTCCTCGGTCACATAATCAATAGGGGGAGCAAACTAAGTCTAACTCACGGTTGGGGGGGGGCAGATAGATGACCCCCCCAGGGAAAGCCCCCCCCCCCTCCACACACACACCCGCACCTCGTGAGGGAACAGCAACAGCGTCGTCGGAACTGTCGCGGATGAAGAATGCCAGAAGAGGAGCCGAGGATGAGGATGAGGCCTTGCTGGTGGCGGTGGATCGCAGCTTCAGGAGAGGAGCGATGGACACTGGCCGAATGAGGGGGGGGGGGCACAATGGGGGGCCCGCATCGCAGACTTTCTCGACGACGTCCTCAAGCGTACCGTGGGTACCTCGCCATCGCTTACTCCCCACCGGGGTTACGAACTTTTACCGTGCGAGGTACACAAATGTTTTTGGGCTGCGTGGCGATGCGCTGGTACCCAGGTGGCAGCGCTGGTCCTGACTGCGGCAGTTTCTCTCACGGGGACTCTTTAAATGGGTGTTTTTCTCACCCGCAATGCCGTCTTTTACGTTGACATTTATTGTACCTGTCGTATAATTAAGGGTTGCGAGGAGTGAGGATTGAACGCGGAAAAGACGAAGGCGACGGTGTTCGGAAGGGGAGGACATCGAGAAAGAAGTATAATGGCGGGAAAGTGGCAAGGTTTGCGAACGTCAAGGAATTTGTATAGTTGGGAAGGCTCCGGACATGGGAAAATGACCGCGCGGGAGACACGGGAGACACGGGGCGCGAGGAACGCAAAGGCAAAAGGAGGTATGGCAGCGCTTCATACATCTGGAGAAGCAAGCGAATCGGCACAAGACCAAAGTGACCATCTGGAGGACGTGTGCGTGTTCAGTACGGCTTTGTACGCCGGCGAGAATTGGAGGTTTGAACAAAGACTGGCGGAGATACGAGACTGGCACTCAACATTGCATTGCTGCAGAAGGATGCTGTATCTATGCTGGAACCCAACAGTGAACCAACGCAGAAGTGAGAAAAATGCCTATAGATTGATTTTGGTTATATATATTCTTTATACATCGGTTGTGCGGTTGGGATTGTATTTATCAGAGTAATCGTGATGGGGTGGTTGGTACATCCCGGTGATTGATTGAATTGGCTGTTCGGCGCGATGTCCGATGTTTCGATGCGTGATGCCCGGCTCAATAAACCCGCAGCTTCCACCCGACGCACCTTCCGATTCGCGTGGTTGGCTACACGCGTAGGGTGTGAAAGAAGTTCAACACGCGATACGAAACAACGCACGCCTGGGACCTGCTCGCTCATCGCCACGCATGGAGACCAACCCACCAGAAGGGCCCCAGGCATTATGACCTCACTGCTGCACCCCCCCTCCATCCAAAACGATGACATCACCCCGCGCGTAATTTTGGTGACATAACCCCCCCACCCTACACGTTATCCACCGCCCACCGACCTGAGCTCAGATCGCCCGGCCCATTAGTTAAGTAGCCCCGCCCACTAGTCGGTAGTCCCACCCACCACTCAGATAGCCCCGCCCACTATGGTGGCCACGCCCACTACTCGGGTAACTACTCAGGTGGTCCCGCCCACCACTCAGAGAGCCCCGCCCACTGCTTTTGTCGCTCCATCCACTGCTCAGGTCGGTATGGCTGACCTGGTATGACCCACCCAATGTCTCACCCGGTATGGCCCACGTGGTATGGCTGACCTGGTATGACCCACCCAATGTCTCACCCGGTATGGCCCACGTGGTATGGCTGACCTGGTATGACCCACCCAATGTCTCACCCGGTACGGCCCACGTGGTATGGCTGACCTGGTATGACCCACCCAATGTCTCACCCGGTATGGCCCACGTGGTATGGCTGACCTGGTATGACCCACCCAATGTCTCACCCGGTATGGCCCACGTGGTATGGCTGACCTGGTATGACCCACCCAATGTCTCACCCGGTATGGCCCACGTGGTATGGCTGACCTGGTATGACCCACCCAATATGGCTCGCTCAGTGTGGATGTCTCGCCCAGAATGGCTCACCCGGTACGGCTGTCCTGCTACGGTTTACCCGGTGTGGGTCACTGGGTATGGCTCACCTGGTACGGCTCACCTGGTACGACTCACCTGAACACCACAGAGTTGCATGTCAGGCTGAAGGATGACCGCGGTCTGCTTCGAGTTCAGCCGGAGTGGCCAGTGAGTCTCCATCTCTTGCAGCCAGGGCGAGGTTCATCCGGGGTCGAAGTATGGACACCACGGTGGCTAGGAGATGTTAACTACCTCGCCTGGTACGCAGGAGGTCGTGGGTTCGATCCCGACCCTGACGCCTGCTGCTGTATATTTGGAGTTTGCGTGTCTCTCATCATCACGGTGGCTAGGAGATGTTAACTACCTCGCCTGGTACACAGGAGGTCGTGGCTTTGATCCCGACTCTGACGCCTGCTGCTGCTGTATATGTAGACTTTGCGGTGTCTCTCTCTCATCATCATCACGGTGGCTATGAGACGTTAACTACCTCGCCTGGTCTACAGGAGGTCGTGGATTCGATCCCGACTCTGACGCCTGCTGCTGCTGTATATGTAGACTTTGCGGTGTCTCTCTCTCCCCGTGGTCGCGTGGATTTTTCTCCGGACCCTTCCGGTTTTTCTCCCCCCACGTTTAGAATCAACGTCACGCGTTTAGAGTTATTTGGCGGCAATATCTTTCCGCGCGATGAAATCAGCCGCTTTCTTTAAGCAATCATTTGTGATAGCCAGGTCGCTTCTGAAAAAAATTGCTTATACAGCTCATTGGGGCCTTACCTGGTAAAAGTAAAAAAAATCAAACATCCGGCGTCAACAACACAAGAGCTCATGTTTACTTTGGTCCATTGCACAATCTCCTGGAACGTGGTGTTGGTGGTTGTTCGTTACCTGCGGGCAACAACCCCTTGCGACTGCGTCACCGATGTCTCGGGCTGGGGGACCATACAAGGAAGCTTCGATTAGCACGGTTGGCTATGTACGGTGCGAAAGAAGTCGCAACACAAAGGGCACGGTGTGACGTCACCTCGGGTCACGTAACCTCAACGCCTCCGCACCCTCGCTTGTTTTATTTGTCAATCACGATGGTTTAATATTTATTTACTTATTTTTTAACCACGATGCTTTATTTTATGGTTATTTCTTTTTTAACCACGATGCTTTATTTTTATATATTTATTTTTCAATCATGATGACTAGTTTTTTATTTTTTGATTTTTAAATCACGATGTTTTATTTGTATTTATTTATTAAGCATGATGCTTTACTTATTTATTGTAACCCTCGTGTTCTCTCTGTGTTAATCCGACCCTCAGTTGGACCGCCGAGTCAATTGGCAAAACTCGAGCCGTCGAGGCATTATTAATGTTTTATTATTATTATACTCGCCTAAAGCCCGTCCAAGGACGAGTGTATTGCAGTTAGGGGCCGTCCATAAATGACGTCACGCGATTTTGAACCATTTTTGACCCCCCCCCCTCGTCACACGGCGTGACAAAAAGTCAGACCCCCCCTCAAATATGACGTCACAAAGCTCTGCCCCCCCCCCAAAAAAAATAAACATGCTTCAAATCGCTTTAAACTGTTGTCATCGTAGTGCGTATTTAATGTGGCGCTGCACTCTGATGTAGGAGAAAACATTTATTAAAAAGTCTATGTAATTAAGTAGAACGTGTCGTATATATTTATTTAAAGTTGCGCATTTTGATGTGACGTCACACTTCTCACCCCCCCCCCCCGCCTCGTCACACATCGTCACAAATGTCTGACCCCCCCACCCCCACAGCAAGAAAATATTTTTTTTTTCCAAAAAATGTCTTGCTGTGGTTTTCACACCTGATGATGATGATTGCTTGTGTTGCAATCGAAACGTCGTGATACTTTTATTGTTTTATTATTATTTTATTATTTCCCTTCGACGTGACTTTACCGAAAGAACCAAGAATACAAAAATAATAAATCACGACGTTTCGATCGCAACACAAACGCGGTCGTCCTGCTGAACCAGTATATCAGTAAAGCTTTTCACACCGATGGCTGTGCTGGGTTGATGCCCAGTGGGTCACCATGCATCCCCTCTGTAGGTGCTGTAACACGTTACAATCCACCATCCCATCGATCCCTGTGCTGCTGTTTCAGTACTTTCAATTAACGCCCTGGTCTTCAGGAGTGCACCCTGGGCATAAATCGGGGTTTGACGAAATATTGATTTTGGCTAGATATTGTTTATACATCGGTTGTGGGATCGACTTGGTATTGCGATTATATTGATCGTGATGGGTGGTGGTGAAGCCCAGCGAGTGCTAGGCGCGTTGTCCGACGTTTCGATGCGTGATGCCCGGTGGAGTTAATAAACCCGCGACCTCCACCCGACGCACCTTGGGGCCGTCCATAAATGACGTCACGCACCTAGGGTGGGGGGTGGTTCAGACATTTGTGACGATGTGTGACGAGAGGGGGGGGTCAAATATCGGAGGGCCCCAGGCATTATGACCTCACTGCTGCCCCACCCCCCCCACACATCCAAACGATGACGTCATCCCGCACGTGATTTTGGTGACGTCATACCCCCCTACCCGACTCGTTATCCACCGCCCGGCCCATTAACTAAGTAGCCCCGCCCACTTGTCGGTAGCCCCCACCCACTACGCAGATAGCCCCGCCCACTATTTTGGTAACCACGCCTACTTATCTGGTTAGCCCCGCCCACCACTCAGATAGCCCCGCCCACTACTCAGATAGCCCCGCCCACTATTTTGGTAACCACGCCTACTTACCTGGTTAGCCACGCCCACTACTCAGATAGCCCCACCCACTACGCAGATAGCCCCGCCCACTATTTTGTTAACCACGCCTACTTATCTGGTTAGCCACGCCCACTACTCAGATAGCCCCACCCACCACTCAGATAGCCCCGCCCACTATTTTGGTAACCACGCCTACTTATCTGGTTAGCCACGCCCACTACTCAGGTGACCCACTGCTCGGCTCAAACCACTGCTCAGGTGGCTGCTGCCAGACGCAACAGTCGGTGTGCCTTGAAGACCAAAGTGTCGTCAGCATGTTGTTATCACGACGACGAGGCGGGTTTACCAGGCAGATCTCGTTTGTCAGGTCCTGCCAGGTTGCTACGGTGGCGTTGGGCGATGTTGCCGCTGTGCGTGACCCCATTTTAGTGATGTGAAAGTCACTCTTGAACGTGGCCGATACCAGTTACAAGCCATGGCAAAGGTTTGTTTATTTGGGTTAGGTCACGTAAATATAAACGTGTCGCTGAACGCGACCTAACCGAAAGCAATCTTTGCTGTGGATGATATTGGTCGCGAAAGGCTACACGTGTTAAAGCGACCGGCTACCACGTGTGTGTGTTAGAACTGGGGGGAGAGAGAGAGACACAAACTGCACACGGAGTGGCGCCCCAGTCGGGACTCTAACCGAGGCCCTGTTTGTCGTGAGGTTCGAGGGCCCCCACCGCCGCCACCCACCCACCCACCACAGCCACCCACCACCCACCACCCACCCACCACCACCCACCACCACCACCACCACCCACCACCCACCACCACACCACACCCACCCCCACCACCCACACCCACCACCACCACACCACCCACCCACCCACCACCCACCACCCCACCCACCACCACCCCACCACCACCGCCACCACCGCCACCACCACCGCGCCACCCACCACCGCCGCCACCCCCACCGCCGCACCACCACCGCCGCCACCCACCACCGCCGCACCACCACCGCCGCCACCCACCACCGCCGCCACCACCACCGCCGCCACCCACCACCGCCGCCACCACCACCCGCCACCCACCACCGCCGCCACCCACCACCGCCGCCACACACCGCCGCCACCCACCACCGCCGCCACCCACCACCGCGCCACCCACCACCGCCGCCACCACCACCGCCGCCACCCACCACCGCCGCCACCCACCACCGCCGCCACCCACCACCGCCGCCACCCACCACCGCCGCCACCCACCACGCCGCCACCCACCACCCCACCACCGCCGCACCCACCACCGCCGCCACCCACCACCGCCGCCACCCCCACACCGCCGCCACCCAACCACCGCCGCACCACCACCGCGCACCACCACCGCCGCCACCACACCGCCGCACCCACCACCGCCGCCACCCACCACCGCCGCCACCCACCACCGCCGCCACCCACC